GGCCCTTCACCTCCTGCCTCCTCACTCTGGGGGCCTGCCTGACTTTCCCTGCAAGAGGCTCGTGGGTCTTTGCTCTGCCCTCTCTTTGGGGATGGGGCTGGATGAGCTTGGGTGCAGTCATCATGGCCTCTCCTCCTTAGCCTAGCAGGGCACGGGGTGCTTGCCCCTCACAGGGTACAGGGGCTGTTCCCTGGCCAGCTCCCTCCAGGAACTGGGCACTCCAGGATTTTGGGTTTTTTTTTTGGGGTGGAAACAAACCCCCTTCCCTCAACCTGGCTGCTGTGTCGTGCCATGCCTGCCCCTCCAGCACCCTGTTTGCTGCCTAGAGCACCAGGCTGGAGAAAAATGCATGCTGGAGAGGAGCCCACCACCCAGGGCCTGCCTGGGGGCCTCAGAACAGAAAATTGCCCAGAAACAGCAGCGATCCTGCCTCTATCAGCAAGCTCTGCTGGTCCTCTCCGTGTCCAGCTTTGCAAGGGAAGAGAGCTTGACCCAAACGACCGTGCCCCAGGGGGAATGCAGCCTGGGAATGGGGCTCCAGGCAGTGGCCTGGCCTGGGCTGAGTGTGGAGGAGCTCAGCCAAGCCCGAGCTCTGCGCCCGGGAGCCGGCACGCTTGGCAGCCACCCTGAGAAACTGTCTTACCAAACGAGCGTGCTGCCTTGATAAATCACTTCTGGGCTTTCTTTGAAGGTGGGAACCCAAGCGAGGGAGAAGCAGTTTTTCTCCACAACTGCAAAGCCTGCCCACAGAGGGAGGGTGACCTTGGCCCAGCCAGGGAGAGGCCGCCCATGGTCTTATTCTCCTGGGCTTTGAGGACGCACGAAGCAGGGAAATACCCTGGCCTGGCACTCATCAGGCTCTGCCCATCCCCATCCTAACCCCAGCTCTGCCCTCCCATTCCTCCCCGCAGGGACTTGGCACACAATGATCACTCTCCAGCAAGGCAGGTTTGGCTCCAGCGGTTTTATCTCTAGAGGAGGAGAGCAGCACCCTGCACGGTGCAAGATTTGGGGGGGTCACAGAGCGGCGGTGAGACGAGGGGCACGGCACCCGGGGCTGCACGGCGATGGGTGGCAGCCAAGCCTCATGCAGTGGGGCTGGGGAAGAGGAGCTGGCCAGAGCTGGTGCTCTGCACTGAGCCCTCGAGACACCCCCCTGGGCAAACACCACACAGGGATGGAGCTTTTACTACGACTCACAGGGCAGCCTAAAGCCCCCGGGACCAGCCCCGACCCACCCTCGGATCACAGAATCGTAAATTCACAGAATATCTGGGCTGGAAGGGACCTCCTAAAGTCATCTAGTCCAACCCCCCCGCTGTAAGCAGGGACATCTTCAACGAGATCAAGCTACTCAGAGCTTCTGCATCCTCTTTGGCTCTCCCCTCACATGCAGAGCAGGCGACTAAAAGCAGCAGTTGGCTCAGGCGGTCAAGCCGCTGACAGGGGATCGAGATACCCCATCATTAAATAAGAGGAATAAACTATTCAGGGAAGATCAAGGGTCTGGGCTGTGCAGCTGGGCTCTAGCACCACCTCTTTTCTGCATCTCCACAGCAGCCAGACCAGCGTTGGGGGCTGGAGTGTCCTGTTTTGGGAGCTGGGATCAGGCTCTGCCTGCTTTTTAAAGGGTTGATGGCAAAGCTACAGGGCTACTGAGACCAGGGGGAACCCCTCCCCAGTGTTCTCCAAGGAGCAGGTGGGGCTTGAGAGGACACAGAGGGAGGCTACAGCTTGGGGGGGTGGGACTAGAAGCCCTTCTCGATGCTGAGTGTGCGGCGAGTGACGTGCTCCATCTTGCCCGAGATGTACTCCGTCAGGCTGATCTGGTAGTTGGCAAGCATCTTCAGCATCAGCCTCAGGTTCAGCCACCACTGCTCCTGGGGCAGCCTGTGCCTGTGCAGGCAGAGACAGCTCTAGAGAGGCCCCGAGGACAACCCAGCGAGGTTGCCCCAGGAGCTGGTGAACAGCCAGGGTGTGGGGACTCACTCGAAATCGGTGACTTTCTTAAGCTCTGTCACAGGGCTGAAGGCCACCACCTTCTTCCTCAGCCCGATCACGCAGGCCGAGTCGCCCGAGTTGGCAAACACACGCCCTGGGAGGGGGGCACAAATGACTGTAGCCACCTCAGCAAGGTCTGAGCAGCCAAGCTGGCACCAAGAACGGCTGCCCAGTGCCACCAGCCTCCCCCCACCCCACCCCGTGGACCCACAGCACTTGGCTCACCCTTGCGGTAGGCCTCCTGCAGCTTCTCTGACATCCACAGCACGGCCTTCACCCCCAGCTTGGTCCCGTAGTTGCGGTCAAAGGGGGTTGGGGCTCCTCCCTGGAGGCAGAGAAACGATGAAATCAAGCCTGCTGGGCTCCTGGGGACAGTGGTGGCCCTCGTTGCCCTGTCCCTCCTACCTGCTGCAGGTGGCCCAGGACGTTGATCCTGCAGTCAAAGATGCCTTTGCCCTCAGAGGAGTAGAGGTTGTAGAGGAACTCGGTGGTGTAGTGCTCGTGGCACTTCTCATTGCTGGGAGAGCAGAGGGAAGAGAGTGAGGGGCGGCTCCTCGACCTGGCACCCCCAAGGGGTCCCTCCCTGCTCCCCTACACACCTTTACTCTGCCGTTTTGTTCTCCCTGAGGCCCAGAGCCACAACCTATCTCCCCAGCAGGACCCCTGGGGCCAGGGTGGGGATGGTGGCACAGGCATCTGGCACAGGATTGTCCCCGTGGCCAAAGCCTGCTGTGCCCAGGGACCCTCTGTCACCACAGCGAGGGCTCAGCTCTGGCCCCACTCCCTGCCACAGGACTGTGTTTTTCAGTGAATGCCCCCAGGGGTCCCCAACTCACCGCAGCACCAGCCCTCTCTGGATATCTGTCTTCATTTTGTCCGTCAAGTGCTCCACGTTGGCCTGCAAGACGAATCCCAAAATGCTGACAGCCACCTCGAGTCCCTCTGGTCCTCTCTCCTTCGGACCCAAGCATCACTCCTGTCAACCCAGCAGCACCGTGGGGGCTTCACCACGCTCCTCCCAACCCTCCCCTGCCTCTGAGCCCTTCCTTTCCCCGTTCCCCACCTTATTTCACCCAAACAACGCCGCCAGCACTCACCTTCAGGTCGTGAATGGTGAAGGGATCCTCGTAGACGTAGGCGGCGTCGGCCCCCACGGCGATGCCCGTGACAGTTGACAGGTAGCCACAGTAGCCCCCCATTGTCTCCACGATGAAGACACGGCGCTTGGTGCCCGAGGCCGACTGCTTGATGCGGTCACAGCTCTGTGCCAGGAGAAGTGGAGGGGGGGGGTCACACCAGGAGAACTCCCCCTTTTAGCTCCCGGGACAGGGTGCCGGGGTCGTTCCCACGTCACTCCCAGAAGAGGAGGGGAGCTGGCTGAGGGGGAGGGGAGCTCCATCTCACCTCCATGGCTGCGTTGACGGCCGTGTCTGAGCCCAGGCTGAAGTCGGTGCCGGGCACGTTGTTGCTGATGGTGGCGGGGATGACACACATGATGATGCAGAGCTCCTCGTACTGCCCACGGGCCTCCACCAGCTGCAGCACCCCCTCGTACGCCTGCGGGAAGAAGAGAGCTGGGGAGACCCCCAAAAGGGATGGCCTGGGACGCCGACAGCCCATCTGGGCCCCTGTGGGAAGGGGGCCGAGGGTCTCCCCACACCTCAAACCCCCCGATGACCAGCAGCCCCTGGATGTTGAACTTCCGCACGTTCTCCACGATCTTCTCCATGCAGGTCTTGGGGAGCGTCCTGCAGCGGGGAAGGGGAGAAGAAACCACGGGGTGAGGTCCCCATGATGCCCAGGGATGCCAGCATCCCCTCAGCTGCCCCCCTTGCTCCCCCCTAGGGGCTGTGC